GCAGACTACTGCTGGTCTGTGTGTAGGGATGCTCCAGAAGTGTTTTATAAAAGACAAGCTAAACGACAGCGATCTTACAATGAATCGGATGGACTTAATTGAAATTTGGTGGTACAAACTTCTTTTATTTGTCAAAACACTAAGAATAATGTTTTTTTTATTAATTTTGTACTTAAAATATTCTAAAAGAAACATAACAATATTGTTTTATGTACTTTCACTTTTCACGTATAGTATAACTACTCTTTAAGATTAAGTACTGTGTATCTCAAAAACCAGAGCTAATAAAAATTTTTCATTGTTATTTTCGTTTTTATCACCCCAAAATTAGTAGAAATTGACTAATTTAGTGTAGGAAACATTCAAAAAATATTTTTTTGTTGTGTTGTGAACCAGCAACAATCAATTCTGTTCAGTGTTCTTTCATGTCCTCTTAGTCAAATCACTTCTCTTTCAACTTCAGTTTTTTTTTAAATGAATTGGATATTTCTACGTCATAGGTATTGTTCAGATCGTTTTTAAGTCACAGATTCAGAAAAGTGAATTGAAACTTTCTATGGTTTTTACCACTTTTATTTGTAACTAGCGTTGCTGCAATTTCGTCCTATAGGACGAAACTGCAGATTTATTCACAAACCTTTGAAATGATGTTATTCTCAATAAGAATACTCAACTTTAGAGTTCGTCAGTGTTTGATACTCACTAGGAAGTTTACTCACATCTGCAACGATAGTTCGTTCTTCACGTTGATAAACAAAGCTCTCACAGACAGCTGTTTCATTTTTGAAGATATTCTTGCTTGAACAAGAGTTGTTATATGAAGTGAAACGCAAACAACTGCTGGGATACCCTTTTTCGTAAGGAACAAACTCTTCCAACCATACTGGATTATAGGACGTATCTGAAATATTTTCACATTCTGGAATAAAACACCTGAAAATAAAAATATATTCATGAAAATATTAATCTGAATCAAAATTATGTATTTTTCTATGCAATTTAGTGTTCATCTCATTAGATCCCATACATTGGGATATTGGTTTCTGTTTGTTGAGTATTCTTGAAAAAGGACGGTTTGCATGAACCTCCAGCCTCCAGAATTGTATGGATTAATCAAACTCCACAAAGAAGGACATCCAGTCAGACCCGCGGTATTATATATAGATGTCCCAACCAGTAAGTTGTCTAAATTTTTTAATTCAATATTCAGAGACCCCACAAAATTTAATCCTTCATACACAGTTCTGAATTCAGTAGACAGTAGACAAAACCTCCTTTCCCTGAAACATATTGTGTTTTGGTTCAGATATGTTGATGACATATTGATTGGTTTTGATTGTTCAAATTAATCAATTTTCAAACTTTCTCAATAGTCTGCAAAACAAAATTAAGTTCATAGTAGAAATCGAACAAAACAAGGAGCTTAACTTCTCAGATTTGAATATTTCAAGAGTTAATAATGGTTTTCAATTCAATATCTACCGGAAAAACAAGTTCACAGACTGTACATTTCCCTTTGACTCTTTCAGTCCACTCTCATATAAGTTATCCGCGTTTAGGTCGATGATACACAGAACTTTCGCAATACCTTCACTCAAAATTATTAAACAAATTACAATAAACAATCAGGTACCAATTTCTTCCATAGAAAAAATTAAAACTTACAAAACACTTATGAGTAAATTATACCCAAACTGTCAAGTACAGTAGCATCAATTACTCAGGTAAACTTTAACAAAATATTCAAAATTATTTCTCTAAATACAAAATAACAACAGCTTTCACAAGTAATAATACTTCAGGTAGAACCCTGAAGCAAAAACAACGTACGAATATCTTCAAGAATCTAATTCCAAAATGAATGAAGATAACCTCAAAATCCTACACATATGTTATAAAGGGTACAAATGAACTTGTTGGAGGCCATGGAAATTAACAAACTAATTGAAAATCAGAAATATATACCCCTAAACGAGCAGCTCAATTTATGTAGATTTCCTCTCTTGAATTTATAAGTTTAACAACCCCTAAAATTTTCAGTGTGGAATTTTAAAGTTGGCATCCTGGTTCGCCCAAATATCTGTCCTTGCAGCATACCTGTAAATTCTATATAACCGATTTATATAACAGATTTCAGTTTTATACTTGATAATGGTGTCAAACCCGAAACCAGTCATATAAATAAAATCTACCAGTGGTAATTAGACAAAAGTGTTTTATTCATTCCAATAAAGTGATCATGAATTACTATAAAATAAACAAGCCATCAATCTCACATAGAAAATTATTGGGAATGAAAATGGAAATTTTTGGAAATTCACACACTTTGAATTCGTGAAAAAACATTATTTCCATCAGTTTTCGGTTCGATTCACAAAGCACATTTGGAGAGAACCTCAAAATAAGCTCAAAATTTGCGTATAACAATGTAAAATTCTTTAACGCATCATTCATTTCGGAATCGTTCTAGTTCTGGGAACTACGAAAGTTTCTAGTGGAATACTGCCTTGATAACTTCAAAATACCACAGAAACGTTAATTCAGGTGAAATACAATTCATATGACAATAGTGATAAAATTGTATATATTCATGTCCTTTGATCACTAACGTGAAATCGATCGAATCTGCTTTCAAATATTGAAAATTTCAATGAAATTGTTAAATTGATGGATGCAGCCCCTACGTGGTAGGAAATCATCATGAAAAAGAACCTTCCGTGTTCAGCATAGCGTTTTGCGAAATTTCGACCACATTGTTCCATATAACCACTATCACACTCCGGACAGTTGAGCTATCTTGTCTACTTTATCTCTGGCATTAAAAAGGAAATTAGATTACATGTCATGTGGTTAGATAAAACAACCAGAAATCAACTCTAACATGTTCTGTTAAAAGAACAGATGCAATTGCGGAACCATCTTGTACTTACTAAACCAAAATGAAATTGGTAATATTATCTTGTGATAGAAGAACACATATAACATTAATGTTGAATACATTAAAATGGTTATCAGTTAAAAATTACTTTCGTTATTTAGCATTAATATTTATTTTTAAAATTAAAACTGGTGATGTTCCTGTATATTTACGTGACAAATTAAAGTATAACTTTGAATATCATGAATACAATACAAGAAGTCGCAATAACTTTCATATACGTCAGACTAGTAATGTCAATTCAGATAATACAGTTTTCATTAAAGGAGTTCAAGCATTCAACGAACTACCGGAGGATATTAAGAATGCTACCTCTCTAAATATATTTAAGAGAAAATTAAAAGTGCACCTTTTAGACCTACAAAGTGTTTAGTATAGGAACCTGCTAATACAGTTTTTTTTTCTTCTTTTTATTTTATTTATTGTGCTGTTTTTATTTATATGTTTCAATATACATGATTTTAAATTTTAAATTTTAATTGTGACATTTAAATTTTTAACCTAGATTAAGACTAATATTGTAACTGCATTAGCTTGTGCTAAATAAACGATACATATATATGGAAGTGGCATTCAGACCACATGCTAGGTTATCTATTTTTTTAATGCCAAAGATAAAGTGTACAAGATGGAAAAATCTGGAGTTTATAAGCTTGAGTGTCCGGAGTGTAATGGTGTTTATGTGGGACAGTGTGGCAGAAATTTCTCAAAACGGTATGCTGACTTCAAACTAGGTAAAAATGGTGCCTACTCGAACGTGACGTCACAAGCGACGTAATGAAACTTTGGAGTGTCCTGGTGAGAATTTTGAACTTGTGAATTGGAGTGTATTCATTTTATACAGAACTTTGAATTTTTGAAAAAAAAGATGTGATTATGAAATACTTCCAACACAATAGAACGAAATTTCGAATATGTCATCATGTTCATTCAATGTTTAGTAGGTGTCAGCTGTATGCTATAGTCAGCTATAAATTGTTATATCTAATTATTCAGAACTTTTACGTTTTGAGTTATCTGTTATAGTTCAATTTTGCTGTTTCTAAAAATAACTTCATTATAAAAATATCAGTACACAAATAGTGTACAGTGACGTATTTTAAAAGTTCTATTTTGTCCACGTTCATTCATTTATTGATAAGATTTTCATGGTTTTAATTGATGAACCGTGCTCACCTGAGAACTTATATAGACTTGTGTGAATTTATGTGAATACACAAATAGTTTTCTGTTAATGAGGCATAGAAGGGTTTTATTGGCAAGAATTGCGAGTATCTTATTATGAAAGGACGTATCAATATTTTATAATTGGATAAAACTGAATTATTCATCTGGATACATAACAAAAATCTACATGATTCAAATGGAAACATAAGGTTCACTAATCACCTGTAGTTGATGTCTCTTGCTACAAAAACATAGGTGCAGTAAAATGAAGAAAAAATTAAAGCGAACCCCAGCGAAGCACACACGGAAAACGGCAACTTTCTACTTTCTATACTTTTGCCGGACATTACGATTATCACTGAATAACCCACGATATTAGATTTTCGCTCAACCGTTCTACTACAAATTATCATCAATCACTGAACTCTGACCTGCCAACAAAATGCACAGTTTTACTTTTTGTATTTATTTTTTTGCCTTTTTATTCTGAGACAAAATTCCTTTATTGGGAGAAATCTGTTAGGATCACCACTCTCATTTATCAAACTGAGGTCTTATCTAATCAACAGCACTTAATTCTTAAGTATAGATCAACAGAATAGTTAAAAATGCATTAGTTGACGACTTGTATTGTGAATACTTGGAATATGTCCAATAGCGTGTACCCGAATTTTACCCAGTGTTTAATCCGGTCAAATTAGACTAAAAAATAAGAGTGAAGGTACATAAATTTACAACAAGCTGCAAATGCCTGTAATTATTCAAAATATGGTTAGAAATGAGATTTTAAAATTCCGAATGATTGCGATCCCTGGAAAAAAAAATTTTAGAGGTCAAAGGTCAAAAATCTCGAAAAAAAAATGGTTTTTCACAATTTTCTGGAAAACGGTAGGTTTTATCATAAAATATCTTCAGATAAAACTTGTTGAACATAAAATTCCCTACAAAAAATGTATCAATATTTTTTTCTCTTAGAGCCACCGTTTCTGAGATACGACGAGTCAAAAAGTTGTAATCGTCATTATATGCATAATTATGCCACGTATATACATTTCTGAAGTTGTAGTTTGAGTAAAAATATTTTTCTTTCGGTATAGATGAGAATAAATATAAGAATATCTATTTTTGCAAAGAGTCAAAATCATGTAAGTACTATTTTTACACGCAATAACTGGCTGTGATACGACGTCTGCATTTTACAGGAGGGGTAAAGCAACAGTCTTTAGAATGATTGAAAAACAAGATTTGGTTCAATGTGCTGAAGTTTTCAGAAAAAGTAATTCGACTGAACAAGAAATTATCACCAACGGGATTCAGTTTCTTCTTTCTATGTACAAAGCTCCGAAAAAAACCACCTGCTTAGATAAGTATCGTTATGCATGTTTCGTAAAACACACTATGAATAAGAAACAGGTGCAATTAGCTTGTCTTCCTCCAACCTCATTTGCTGCTCATCAACATCTTTTCCGGGTATATTACCAAGTTCAAGTATGGCTTGGTTATCAGCTAGACCCCAAAGACTGGGGTTGGAAGTTGGTTGACAATGCATTAGAACCTATTCAGACTTTACTCCCACCAGCGCCGGAAAAACTGCTGAACGCAATTTTTTGCAACTGTAAAAAGGGTTGCAGCGCTAAATGTGGTTGTGAAAAAGTTGGACTGTTGTGTTCTCTGGCATGTACACATTGTCAAGGCCAGTCATGTTCTAATGCTGAATCACCAATAGTGGATGATTCATTTGATACCAACGAGGAAACATGCGATACGTCACTCCTGACGCAGTTTACCTACACCCAGGATGAACATCAAGAAGAAGAAGAAAATCATG